TGTTTAATGTCGAAAACAGGTGTTGGAAGTTGAAAAATAGTGTTGAAAGTTGAAAAATAGTGTTGAAAGTTGAAAAATAGTGTTAAAGGTTTTTAGCGGATGTTAAACACGAAAGTTGTATGTGGCAAACGAATGTTGAATTTTGAAAACGAATGTTGAATTTTAAAGGCGAATGTTGAAGTTGATTGATTGATTGATTGTTGGTTGCTTAACGTCCAGTGGCAAATATTTCATGCATATTCAGGACGAGAACAAATTTACAATAAACACAATAGGTAGGTTCTGTAATAGGGGCGTCCGGGATTAAGGTCGGAGAAATTTAGACTGCCACGGGAAATGAGGGTATATTAGATAGGGACAGAAATTTAGCCTTGCATCAGGTCACCTACGGACCCCTCACAGAGTTGTTGCAAGGGTTCTTAACGTGCACAGAGCGTGGCACTCTCTTTACACGAGGCATCGGATTTAACGTCCCCATTCTGACCGGACGTGGCTGCAAATTTGTACATCCCGCACAGCCAAACGGACGCCCCACTTTAGCAAGGGTTTTACTGCCGGTCGGAGGAAGACCAATGGTGACCCTACTTCTATTCCCCAGTCACCCTTGGGGGGTGTTGAAGTTGAAAAACGAATGTTGAATGGTAAAAACGAATGTTGAAGGTTGAACGAGTGTTAAGTGTAAAAAACGAAAGTTGAAAGTTGAAAACGAATGTTGAATGTTAAAACTCGAATGCTGAAAGTTGATATCAGGATGTTGAAAGCGAACATTGAGTGTTGAAAACGAATGTTAAATGTCGAGAACGAATGCTGAAAGTTGAAAATCGAATGAAGAAAAGGAATGTTGAATGTTGACGTTTTATTCTTATGTTGAAAACAAATGTTGAAAACGACAGTTGTATGTTATAAACGAATGGTGAATGCTTTAAAAGCTGACAATCGAATGTTGAAAATTAATGTTTGATGTCGAAAACAAGTGTTGGAAGTTGAAAATAGTGTTGAAAGTTGAAAAATGTTGTTGAAAGTTGAAAAATAGTATTGAATGCTAATATCAGATGTTGAAAACGAAACTCGAATATTGAAACCGAATGTTGAATGTTGAAAACGAGTGTTGAAACTTGAAAAACGACTGTTGAATGGTGAAAACGAATGTTGAAAGTTGAAAAACAAATGTTGAAAGTTGAAATAAATGTTGAATGTTAAAAACGAATGTTGAATGTTAAAAACGAATGTTGAAAGTTGAAAATCGAATGTTGGAAATTGAAAAATAGTGTTGAAAGTTGAAAAATAGTGTTGATAGTTAAAAAATAGTGTTGAAAAGTTGAAAAATAAATAGTGTTGAAAGTTGAAAAATAGTGTTAAATGTTTATAGCGGATGTTGCAAACGAAAGTTGTATGTTGAAAGCGAATGTTGAAAATGGAAAAATGAATGTTGAATGGTGAAAACGAATGTTGAAAGTTGAAAAAACGTTGAAAATGAATGTAAAATGCTAAAGACAAAAGCTGAAAACGAAAGTTCAAAATCTGATGTTGAAAACAATTGTTGAATGTTGAAAACGAATGTTAAATGGCTGAAAACGAATGCTGAATTTTAAAAACGAATGTTGAATGTTTAAAGATGAAAATTTAATTGTGAAAAAATATTGAAAACAAATGTTTAATGTCGTAAACAAGTGTTGGAAGTTGAAAAATAGTGTTGAAAGTTGAAAAATAGTGTTGAAAGTTTAAAAACGAATGTTGAACGTTGAAAACGAATGTTGAAAGTTAAAAATTTAATGTTGAAAACAATTATTGAATGTTGAAAACGAATGTTAAATGCTGAAAACGAATGCTGAATGTTAAAAACGAATGTTGAATGTTTAAAGATGAAAATTTAATTATAAAAAAAATGTTGAATATAGAAAACAAATGTTTAATGTCGAAAACAAGCGTTAAAAGTTGAAAAAAGTGTTAAAAATTGAAAAATAGTGTTGAAAGTTGAAAAATAGTGTTAAATGTTTATAGCGGATGTTGGAAAACGAATGTTAAATATTGAAAGCGAATGTTAAAAATAGAAAAACGAATGCTGAATGGTGAAAACGAATGTTGAAAGTTGAAAAACGAATGTTGAATGTTGAAAACGAATGTTGAAAGATGAAAATCGAATGTTGAAAACGAATGTTGAAAGAAGAAAATCGAATGTTAAAAACGAATGTTTAAAGAAGAAAATCGAATGTTGAAAACGAATGTTGAAAACGAAAGTTGAAAACGAATGTTCAATGTTGAAAACGAATGTGGGATGTCGAAAATGGATGGTGAAAGTTGTAATTCGAATGTAGAAAACAATAGTGTTGAAAGTTGAAAAATAGTAATAAATGCTAATATCGGATGTTGAAAACGAAAATCGATTGTTGAAATCGAACGTTGAATGTCTGTTGAAAACGAGTGTTCAAAGTTGAAAAACGACTATTGAATGTTGAAAACGAATGTTGAATGTTAAAAACGAATGTTGAAAGTTGAAAATCGAATGCTAAAATGTTGAAAACGGATGTTGGATGTCGAAAATGGATGTTGAAAGTTGAAATTCGGATGTAGAAAACGAATGTTGATGGTTGAAAAAGAATGTTGAATGTCGAAAATGGATGTGTAAAGTTAATATTCGAATGTAGAAAACGAATGTTGAATGTTGAAATCATGAAAGTTTTTATCCTAATGTTGAAAACAAATGTTAAAAACGACAGTTGAATGTTATAAAAGAATGGTGAATGCTTAAAGATGAAAATCGAATGTTGATTGATTGAATCATTGTTGGATGCTTAACGTCCAGTGGCAAATATTTCATGCATATTCAGAACGAGAACAAGTTCACAATAAATACAATAGATAGGTTCTGTAATAGATTAAGGGATTAAGGTTGGAGAAATTTAGACTGCCACGGAAAATGAGGGTATATTGGATAAGGACAGAAATTTAGCCTTGCAACAGGTCACCTACGGACCCCTCAAAGAGTTGTTGCAAGGGTTCTTAACGTGTAAAGAGCGTGAAATCAAATGTTTAATGTCGAAAACAAGTGTTGGAAGTTGAAAACAAGTGTTGGAAGTTGAAAAAAAGTGTTGTAAACTGAAAAATAGTGTTGAAAGTTGAAAAATAGTATTAAATGCTAATATCGGATGTTGAAAACGAAAGTCGATTGTTGAAACCGAACGTTGAATGTTGAAAACGAGTGGTCACAGTTAAAAACGACTGTTGTATGGTGAAAACAAATGTTGAAAGTTAAAAAACAACTGTTGAATGTTGAAAACGAATGTTGAATGTTGAAAACGAATGTTGTTTGTTAAAAACGAATGTTGAAAGTTGAAAATTGAATGTTAAAAGTTGAAAAACGACTGTTGAATGGTTAAAACGAATGTTGAAAGTTGGAAAACGAATGTTGAATGTTGAAAACGAATGTTGAAAGTTGTAAATCGAATGTTGAAAGTTGAAAAACAAATGTTGAATGTTGTAAACGAATGTTGAAAGTCAAAAATCGAATGTTGCAAACAATTGTTGAATGTTGAAGACGAATGTTGATTGCTGAAAACGAATGTTGAATGTTGAAAACGCATGCTGAATGTTAAAAACGAATGTTGAATGTTAATAGATGAAAATGTAATTGTAAAAAAAATGTTGAACATAGAAAACAAATGTTTAATGTCGAAAATAAGCGTTGAAAGTTGAAAAATAGTGTTAAATGTTTATAGCGGATGTTGAAAACGAATGTTGAATGTTGAAAACGAATGTTGAATTTTGAAAGCGAATGTTTAAAATTGAAAAACGAATGCTGAATGGTGAAAACGAATGTTGAAAATTAAAAAAAAACAAATGCTGAATGTTGAAAACGAATATTGAAAGAAGAAAATCGAATCTTGAAAACGAAAGTTGAAAACGAATGTTCAATGTTGAAAACGAATGTTGAATGCTGAAAACGAATGTTGAATGTTTAAACAAATGTTGAATATGGAAAATAAATGTTGAATGTCGAAAACGAGTGTTGAAAGTTGAAAATCGAAAGTCGAGAACGATTGTTAAATGTTACAAACGAATGTTGAAAGTTGAAAACGAATGTTAAATGTTGAAAATCGAATGCTGAAAGTTGATATCCGAATGTTGAAAACGAACATTGAGTGTTGAAAACGAATGTTGAATGTTGAGAACAAATCTTGAAAGTTGATAATCGAATGTTCAAAACGAGTGTTAAATGTAAAAAAACGAAAGTTGAAAGTTGAAAACGAATGTTGAATGTTGAAATCGAATGCTTAAAGTTCAAAAGAGCTAAATATGATCACTGAATTGGTTGAAAAAGACTCTGTGAGAAGTTTTCTCTCAAACAACGACGTCTTGTGGCTTTTTAATCCTCCACACGCCTCCCACATGGAAGGAGTGTGGGAAAGGATGATTGGTGTTTCACGAAAGATTTTAGATTCTATGTTACTACGAGAAGGTTCAAAAACTCTTACTCATGAAGTACTTACTACCCTGTTATCGGAGGTAACAGCAATTGTAAATGCGAGACCCTTGGTTCCGGTGTCAGCTGACCCAGAATCACCATGTGTACTTTGTCCAGCAATGCTTCTCACACATAAAATAAATCAGGACAATGTATCGTTTCCAACATTCGGAAATAAAGACATGTTGAAATCTCTATGGAAGCACACTCAGGTTCTAGCAGAAGAGTTTTGGAACCGCTGGCGTAACGAATATTTAAACCGTCTACAAACTCGACAAAAATGGACCCGTGAGTACAGTAATATGAAGGAAGGCGATTTAGTACTCTTAAGAGACCGTGAATGTGCTCGCAACTATTGGCCAGTCGCAATTGTTGAAAAGACATTCTCTAGTTTTGATCAGAAAGTCAGAAAGGTTCAAATTCGTGTTGTGCGTGATGGGAAAGCAGTTAGTTATGTTAGACCAATCAACGAACTAGTAATGTTGGTAGAGCATGTGGAACTAAAACAAAGTGAAACAGATTAATGATTATAATTTTAACTCGTTGAACCTTCGGATAGTCAGAACATTTTATTACAGTTATTACATTTTGCATTGATAATTTGTTCATGTTATTTTCAAATTTGTTTATGAATTGGTGATTTTAGTTTTGAAATCAGAGGGGGAGTGTTATGTCACACTCCGGAAATTACGGATCTGTCCGTCATTATGTCGAATTTTATTTTTGATGTCTGCCACACGGCAAAGATAAACAAACTTTTCTTTGGTATTCAACCCTCCACAGGGTGAGTTTTTGTTATACTGTAGTTTATAACCTTCATTTGTATGCCCGATATACGTATTTAAAGTCTAAGGTCAGTCCTTTTGAATTTAATTGTGATTTCAAACGATTCTCAGGAGTCATATCTCATGTCACACTTATTTTGTATTTTACATGTTAAATTAAGCTTTCCGATGTTTATATGATGGTTATTTTTATTCCTGCTTTTATTATACACCAGTCCTAGTCAATTTAAGCTTCTTAATTCTCGATTTTTGATATTACTCCGTCAGTTTGTCAAAATATTTTTTGTATGGAACGCCAATAGAGCCATATATTTCGGCGTACGTTTTTTCTTAAAACAGTATGTGTATAGAACGCTTTTCGTGTTATAATTTTGTTATCTAAGATGTAATTCTATGGCACTTTTTGATCATTTTTTGGTTGTTTCATAAGATAGACATATTTTTCAATGTATGGAGAACATTGTTGATATTAATTGTACCATTATTTTGTGAACATTGTGCTTATTAGATTTCATTTTTGTATATTTTCAGTTTTTTACCCTCTCTGGAGGTCTGCAATAAAAGATAGTAACTCAGGTTTTAGCGTATCTTTGATATTACAGATAGCTTACAAAATCTTTTAAATATTTCAGTCGATTCCGTTAACTCAGAAAATGATTTGCTTTTCTCTAATTCCAATGAATGTGTTCCTGAAATGAGTCTGTCAATAAAGATGACATTGGCAGTTATATAAGTATGGAGTCACCTGAAAAGAAAAAAAAAACGATTCTGAAAACAAAAGATAGCAATGATGAAAGAGAGTCACGATCACAATGGATTGATTGATTGTTGGTTGCCTAACGTCCAGTGGCAAATATTTCATGCATATTCAGGACGAGAACAAATTAACAATAAATACAATAGGTAGGTTCTGTAATAGGGGCGTCCGGGATTAAGGTTGGAGAAATTTAGAATACCACGGGAAATGAGGGTATATTGGATAGGGACAGAAATTTAGCCTTGCAACAGGTCACCTACGGACCCCTCAAAGAGTTGTTGCAAGGGTTCTTAACGTGCAAAGAGTGTGGCACTCTCTTTACACGAGGCATCGGATTTAACGTCCCCATTCTGACAGGACGTGGCTGCAAATTTGTACATCCCGCACAGCCAAACGGACGCCCCACTTTAGCACGGGTTTTACTGCCAGTCGGAGGAAGACCAATGGTGACCATACTTCTATTCCCCAGTCACCCTCGGGGGTCTATTATTTAGATTCACAGAATTTATATTTACAAGAATATAATATCAGACTACAGTAAGGAAGGTCTGCTGCAATAAAAAAAAAATCATTTTTTATTTGGTTTTTCTTCTTCTGCAAACTGGCCAGGTGTGTCTGCTCCCTCAAGTTAAACCAACAAATTAAAAACCTGCGGCCGTATGAGTAATAAAAATTGCGTTTATTTGTCTTGTTAATTTGCCTGCTTTGTAAATGATCGAATTACAATGATTATGATTAATTAATTGTTTTTGCAGAGAATGTGAACAGTAATCCTGCAAGAACTAATCTTACCTACGCAGAAAAAAGGAAGAGGGTAATGGGACTTGTTGAGATACAAGCTCATTGAAACCAGGTTGGAGGAACAGTCCCCAGCAACTCATTCTTGTTGCTTTTGTCAATGAACTGTTGATGATGTCATAGTTTGTCAGGATTGTGGTCCCTCTGCATTGTGATGCTTGCTGTAAGAGGATACATCAGAACATCCTGTTCCATAAGCCACACCAGTGGAAGGTAACATATTGCCACAATATATATAAAAAAGATGTGGTATGATTGCCAATGAGACAACTCTCCACAAGCATACAAGAGACCAAATGACACAGAAAGTATTAACTATAGGTCACCGTACGGCCTTCAACAATGAGCAAAGCCCATACCACATAGTCAGCTATTAAAAGCCCTGAAATGACAATGTAAAACAATTCAAACGAGAAAACTAACAGCCTTATTTATGTAAAAAAATGAACGAAAAACATATATGTAACACATAAACAAACGATAACCACTGAATTACAGGCTCTTGACTTGGGACAGGCACATACATGTAGAATGTGGCGGGGTTAAACATGTTAGCAGGATCCCAACCCTCCCCCTAACCTGGGACAGTGGTGTAACAGTACAACGTAAGAACGAACTATAAAAATCAGTTGAAAAAGGCTTAACTCATCAGGTGGATACAATTACAAATACAAGTGGACGTTGCCGGGTACTTGTACATCCCAACAACAAAAAGACACTTAGTACAGATCTGAGAGTACTCGCAGTTACTGACAGCTAGTTCAAAGCCACTAACAACTATAACAAAATTCATGCATCTAAGACTAATGTCATTTGTTCATGTGTTTAGATGTAGTTTTAAAACTTTTCTGAAAACCAGGATAGAAAAGCAACATTGCAGCTTTTAGAAATGTTTAAAAACTGATATACTTTGCAATGCTTTGTGCGGTTATCAAATGAATTTCATAAAATCGTTGATAGTTTTCAAAATTTAGAAATTATTACTGACTATTTTCAATAAGAATGTTCAAATGCTTAAAATGTACACACACACAAAAACCATGAAATTAATTGAAAAATTGTAAAGACGAGATTGTTCTTAACAGCCTACAAGATACAATGTATATTGATCCAAAGAATTTTTTCAATCTCTAACTTTGTCCTATCAATATATTTCTTTCAGGTTTATATATGATCATATTAACATCATACATTAATACTTTAATTATATACATACTTTACCTCTATTACAGCAAACCATGTATGTACCTATTCACATGACAAATGAACTTGCCAGAAAGACCACATTTGTGAATCATCATACTCTACTTCCATATATGCTGTTGATGTAAAGGGTAAATATTTTTTATGCTGACCCCCCAAATAAATGTTCCAAACAAACGGTTTTTGTATGATTACTTTAGTATCCTCTTTTTCTTGGTTGAAATTAACTTTATACAGATGGAAAATATTTGGAAGGGGAAGAAACTGAATTTACTACTCTTTAGAGCCTCTAGTTTTTCTTTCTTTAATATGTTATTCTCATATTGCAGGTTTACAACATACATATAAAAAACCAGCTATGTAGATGTGAAGATCCTGCAGTCACCTTTATGCGTTACAGCTTATGGCCAGCTTCACCTACAAGCCCTAAAATTGGCTTTGATCTCAGATTCATGGAGCTATTGTCTGTTCTGCAACTTGAGAGCTGTTTATCTGCAAAATCTGTTTGTGATGCTTTAGATGCTATGCACTCGGACTACATTAAATGAATCTCCAACGTTGCAAGTAAATTTAAACAGTTTTCCAATGTCATAAAGTGTTCTCTCATTAGGCATTTGTTAGAAATACATCAGTATAGACAAAAGAATGTTAAAAGATTTTTAAAATATTTGTTGTCACAATGTGCTGTCTAGATTTAGACAAAAATAAGAAAAAAGATTAGAATTGTGGTTTTGTGCTAGAATGTAAAGATATTTGGTGCTTATCTTGCAAATTTAGTTTGTAAAAAAATGCTGGAATACTCGAGGTCTATTTTGTGCGTATATTAAGATTTGTTAATATCAGATATGGTCAAAGTTGAAGAAAAAAACAAATTTCACCAAGCTTCAGCTTACTTCAGATCAAGGACAACTGCTTTTAGAATCAGCTCAGACAAAGAGAAAAAACGCCTGTCTAGTTAAATTAAAGGAACTTGCAACTGACAGGCAATATTTATCTAGCTTGAAGAAATATGCAGGTATGAAAATGTATAACAAGTATTATATACTTAAGAGCTGTTCCATTTAAACTTACATGGTACCAAGGGCAGACAATTTAAAACTTAATTAATCACCCATAGAGTCAAATTTATAATTTCAATTCAATTTTCAATGGATTTCATAACAATCTTTAAAATGGTTGTTATGTTTTATGGAACAGCCCTAATTTTTGTAAATTGGGATAAACTGATTTTGATTCAGGCTTTATAAGTCAACCTATACAATGTGATAAATATTAAGGTTTACCTCTCAGCAACTATTTGTAAATAGCCATGTAGGAATTGTTTGTTGCATTTTTCTCGATAACTACAAATGAGTCCTTCGAAATTCAGAATCAAGTGTCATATAACCATGCTTTTCAGTGTGAATTGTTTTCATATACATTTCTTAACAACTTTCTATTTACATTAAACCAATAAATATAATTAATTTGTTATATTAATTTTGCAGAGGGTCAAGATATTGGAATCCGAATAAGCAAACAGTTCTCCAGCAACTTTATAAAGATAAAAAAAGAAGTGGACAAACTGAATGCTATTTCCCGCACAAATTTGGATTCCAAACAGTTTCTGTCTTTAGAATCAGAAATATATGATCAGTTGGAAACGAGAAAGATCTCTGAAAACCAACAAAAGGCTGTTCAGTCCAAATGTTTGATTGACCATGCAGAAGGAGAAAGTACTAATATTGACATTGAAATAAAAAAGTATTTACTTTATTTAAGTAAACAGAGTGAAGAAATAATTGACACAATCAACTGTCTTTTACCTTTAGAAGGAAACAGGTTCCATTTAGGCAAAATTAATTACCTCTTAGTGGAACATTTTAATATTGAAACTGTTTTTCATTCGTGTTTCACATTATTTGAACACACTGTTACAGATGTTTCTATTGTACCAAGAATAGTTCATGATAAATTGAATACAGAATTGTCAAGATCCTTAAATTTACCAGCCGAAGAAGAAATAACAACAATTTTTCAGGAAATTGAGCAGTTTGAAAATAATGAATTGAACCGTATTTATATGGAAAAGGAGAGTGACGAGGGAGGATTGATTGATTGATTATTGGTTGCTTAACGTCCAGTGGCAAATATTTCATATTCAGGACGAGAACAAGTTAACAATAAATACAATAGGTAGGTTCTGTAATAGAGGCGTCTGGGATTGAGGTCGGAGAAATTTAGACTGCCACGGGAAATGAGGGTATATTGGATAGGGACAGAAATATAGCCTTGCAACAGGTCACCTACGGACCCCTCAAAGAGTTGTTGCAAGGGTTCTTAACGTGTAAAGAGCGTGGCACTCTCTTTACACGAGGCATCGGATTTAACGTCCCCATTCTGACCGGACGTGGCTGCAAATTTGTACATCCCGCACAGCCAAACGGACGCCCCACTTTGACGAGGGTTTTACCGCCGGTCGGAGGAAGACCAATGGTGACCATACTTCTATTCCCCAGTCACCCTTGGGGAGACGAGGGAGGAGATGACGATGATATTAAAATTGATAACAATGAAATTTTGTGTTGATGACACAATTATTCGATCGATTAAAACAGGAAAAGCTTAAACAATGTCAGAAAATAGCACCCGGTTATAAAACTCAATTTTTACGAGGGTCAAGCCATTGAAATCCGAATAAGCAACCAGTTCTCAAGCAACTTTATAAAGATAAAAAAAAGAAGTGGACATACTGAATGCTATTTCCCACACAAATTTGGATTCTAAACAATTTTTGTCTCTAGAATCAGAAATATATGATCAGTTGGAATCGACAAAAA